ATCACTAATTACTTTGTAAGTGTAGAGTACGAGCCAAACAAAGAAGGAGAAGCATGGTGAAATTAGGTTTGTATTTTAATTATATCGTTATTATGGGCTATGGGTCTGATGAGATTCTATCTTAAGTTCTGTTATGATATAGCATAGTACCGTTAAAATACCTCATACGCGAAAGCGTTTGATAACTTTAAACATTTTATTTTTAACATTTTTATAAGTATTCATTCTTTTCCGTGAAGGGGTATTAAGATTTTTAAAGAATTAGAATGTTTTCATCTGCAACACTCTTTACGTACACAAACAGTTTCTCTTAATCCTTTAAAACAGTCATTCCATTCAGTCAACCAGCATTCCATTAACTACAAAACAAGGGTAAAAGCACTCTTTACTCGAAAGGTTGATATAACGAGTGCGGCGTGAGCTCAGTAACTGAAAATGATAGGGAATCGCTTGGCTAACTTGAACCAACCTGTTGGTCAGTAAAACTGTTTTTATAACAGTCTAGTAACAGATTTACATCATGGCAAATCAAGCACTAAATATAATCCGGCTTTCTTCACTGTTGAAGGTGATTCATAATTCGTGCAACAGTTGTCGGAGTGTCTCGAGGTCTGGATGTTACATAGAGGATATGTCAAGAAAAATGTCTATGGCAGAGACATTGTGTGACCTTTGATCACAACAGGGTAGTTGGAGTAAAATAGGCGGGCTACTTGCACTTCCTCAATTCTCACAGCACAGCACAAGTACACATGTTGAAAATGTCAAAGCTGACACTTGTAGGACGCACTAATTTTCCTGCGTGGTACAAATGGACGTATGAGTGTGGCAACGGGTATTGTTTTTGATAGCAATCACCGTGATAAAGGCAAAATTTCAAGGTAAACAGTAATCAGATTCCTCCAGACAGGAAACATAGCAGTTGACATCGTTAAACAACCCTCAGGCCCGGCATGGCCAGGTGGTTAGGGCGCTTGACTCGCAATCTGAGAGTTGCGAATTCGAATCCCCGTCCCACCAAACATGCTCGCCCTTTCAGCCATGGGGGCGTTATAATGTGACGGTCAACCCCACTATTCGTTGGTAAAAGAGTAGCCCAAGAGTTGGCGGTAGGTGGTGATGACTAGCTGCCTTCCCTCTAGTCTTTCACTGATAAAATTAGGGACGGCTAGCGCAGATAGCCCTCGCTTAGCTTGGCGCAAAATTCAAAGCAAGTAAATAACCCTCTGGTGGCTGAAATTTGCGTCGAAGAGTGTTTCTTTGATACACTATTTCCCTTTACATATCATCCGCTATAACTCTTCAGTTTTCACGATGCTCCGACAGTGTTGCGCAAATTATGAATCACCCTGTTTATATTTGATAAAAATATACAAACGTAATAAATATTTGTAAATGTGTCAATCACATATATCTAAAAAGAAAGCAATCTATTAAAGGCTTTCTTTTCTTTACTACTCGAGAAATATACCAAATAGTAATTTCTGGACAAGAATAAATCATAACAAGCGCCCCCCAGTAGCACGGCGGTATGTCTGCGGACTTACAACGCTATAATCCGGGTTTCGATACCCATGGTGGGCAGACCACAGATAACACATTGTGTAGCTTTGTGCTTAATTACAAACAAACAATCATGACAAGTAGCTTAAAACGTGACAACGTATATTTTTTGTTTCGGTTATTCACGCTACACAAGGATTTCCTGCTCTAGTCGTCCGTAACTTTGAATTGATACAGTACAGAAAGAGCCGCTGGTAAACAACACCAACCTACGACTCTTAGGCTGCTCTAAACTAATAGTGAAGTTTTACGATTTTGCGACAACGAGATTCGAACAACACATTCACAGATCCATAGCCCTGCTGGCTAACTGTTAGGGTACGTTCGTACAACAAATGAAGTAAATATTGGAATACTTAAACTAAAAACCGTATTATACTTTGACCTATATGTATCTATAAAAAAATCAAAAGTCCAAGTTTCTAATGAACTTTCTCCTAATTTTCATTCTCCACTTTTTTCTTTTCAATACCATATTTGCTTTTTTAAATTTATTTCTAAAGTTACCAACGTAAAACAATATTCTCAGTATCATTTAAGGTGTATATTTAATATACAGTTCTCTGAACTGTGAATTGGTTGCTTACATCTGTATTGTGCTTTGTAAAACCTACCGCTTCATTTAAACTTACACAACTAAGCTGATTCGTCTATATAGTTCTTTGTAAGGTTTATTTTCCTATCATAACTTACAAAAAAATACTAATTCGTCTAGATAGTTCTTTGTAAGGTTTATTTTCCTGCCTTAATTTACACAACAATGCCGAGTGTGTATCATAAATATGGCACTACTTATAGTAGGAATGGGGCGGATACACAATACAAGCTATTCACTCGTATACACCTTTAACAACCAAATAATAAATCTTCAAAGTATTTGAGAGACACCCTTAGGTAATAAACAAACCACATTTTACAAGACAGAGAACCGCTTGAGAAAGTCAGAAGAGCAGATATAAAAAATTCACAAAACCGCAAATTTCTCAATCTCACTGACTGTCTGACATTGTTGAACGCTGTTAACTGTGTAACAAACAGACTTACCATATAAGTGTACCAAATAGAACAATAACACAGGTGCCACGTGCTAGTGCTAGCGTGAAGTATTATAATTAATTTAATTAATTAACTAATTTATCAACCATTAGTATATGCACACAACCACAACTCACACTACATCACCCAAATGACATTGAACCTTATAGTGTGTGACATCACATGTACAGCACACATGCACACTCACAGTATGCACACACCATAAGTGAAGAGAATTCACCATCTTACACACATACACCATTATTTGCATATACCATAATATTATGGTGCACACCCACACTGATGATATACATACATGATATTAACACAAATGAATGAATCCTGCATCAGATCATGTCACCTTGTATAAAAAAGTGCATGAACAAGTGGATTTTTTTTTATTTAAAGCGTAGGAGTGGGTGCTCCGTTCATGTGTTCATGATATTATACAAGTTATGACTCCACACGAATATCTGATTCTGCTGGTGTCGTATAAACAAACTTCACAGTACATGTATTGCCTTCAATAATTCGATTCACAGAAACCTATAGTCATTGTATAATAAACATAACTAAGTTTGATAAGTTTAGTCCACCTAGCTTATTGTATACAGGATAGAAAAAATAAACGAGGTAGGCAAGGAGAAGATGTTGGATACGCCCCCTTGTGTTTTATTACACGATGCTCATTCTTACCTTGTTTCCTCACGTTTTGGTCCACCCATTCCTACACTTTCAATTTAAAAAAGAAATTCCACTTGTTATTATATTGAAAGATCTATTGTCATGCATTTAACTTACACAACAATGGCGACTCGTTTGTACTCTTATTTGTAAGATATTTATTCTGCTTTAACTCACAATGATGCCTTCAATAACAATTACAATGTGACACGTATTGGGTTGAAAGAGATAAGCGTTTGCCAGTTTTGGCAATAAACACATATAAATTAGTGGCTCAAAGACATCATTATAATACAGCTGGCCTGGTAATTTTTGATAGTGAGTTAAAGCCTCATAGGTAGTAAGTAGCCTATAACAGAAAAACAAAATGTATACTGTTGCCTGGCGCATAAATCCTTGTAAAACAGTATCTGATACACAGACAAATATATTGAAATCCCAATCAACAACACTGACTTCTCCTATAGGACACTCGAACTAACCCTCATCAACAATACTGACTTCTCCTATAGGACACCCGAACTAACCTTCATCAACAACACTGACTTCTCCCATAGGACACCCGAACTAACCTTCATCAACAATACTGACTTCTCCTATAGGACACCCGAACTAACCTTCATCAACAACACTGACTTCTCCTATAGGACACCCGAACTAACCCTCATCAACAATACTGACTTCTCCTATAGGACACCCGAACTAACCTTCATCAACAACACTGACTTCTCCTATAGGACACCCGAACTAACCCTCATCAACAATACTGACTTCTATAGGACACCCGAACTAACCTTCATCAACAACACTGACTTCTCCTATAGGACACCCGAACTAACCCTTATCAACAATACTGATTTCGCCTTTAGGACACCCGAACTAACCCTCATCAACAATACTGACTTCTCCTATAGGACACCCGAACTAACCCTTATCAACAATACTGATTTCGCCTTTAGGAAACCCACACTAATCCCAATCAACAATATTAACTTTTCCTATAGGAAACTCGCACTAACCAAGTTAAGAGTAAATTGCTGGAAATTATGACTAATTATATTGTAATAATCCATCACTATTGATTCCACAACATAACAATACTTCCCAAGCTCCAGCATTATATAACACCAAATTAACAATTTTCTTCTGCTTTACTATAGTATAAACCCGTTCTTATACAATATATTCATTCTACTTTAGTGTAGGAATAATATTTTACCGGTATTGTTTTTATGATATATCATTAATTTGTAACTTACGGTTCTATAAACATGCCTGTATTGTTTTTACATTATTTTATTTTACTTATATAATGCTCCAATCGAATTGATGGTTGTTTATTTTTTACGTTGAACAGTTCTCATGAAGTTATTTATGTCACTAAACGTACAGAGTGCATGTTGTTGGTTTCATGTAAAGTCGTTCACTCACTACTAATAACTTGAAAACTTTAGGTGTTTGAATAACAAGAGACTATACCGTCACAATTAATTATCCATTATTATTCAGCAGACTAGTTGGTAATTTGTTTATGAATTTTCCTTTCCTCGTCGAAACGTGTAACTTCAGTGAAGAAAAATGAAGTAATCCGTAAGTAGGCTTGTACGTCATACACGTTTTGGTGAAGAAAGAGTAAATTAATAAATAAATACAGATATGTTCTGGAGAACTCCAAGCAAACTATAAACTAATAGAGTAAACCAAGAAATAACACTTACTAGAGTCGTGAGTAAAAAGACCAGCCTTGGCTTCCGACATGCAAAGCGTTGGTTCCTTGGTATCCAGGACCTGTTAAGAATTATCAACATCACTTGCACGGTATTCAGGACATATTAATAACCTGAACATTATTTACACAGTATCCAGAACATATTAGTAAATCTAAATGTTATTTACAATGTATCTAGAACATGTTAATAGTCATAAACATGAAGTGCTCGTGTATCTAACAATGGTTATATGTCACATCAAACAAAACAACTGCAAACAGAACCAAAAATCATCTCTTAAGCAAAGCTAAATAACTAAAAACAGACACCGAAGTTATCAACTACTTCAAAACTAAAAAATTATACAAACAGGTTTCAAATGGACTACTTAGTGTAAACCTAAACAGACACTAAGATTTATAATACTTGTGACACATACAGAATTACGAACAATTGGTTTCAAATGGACTACTTAGTGTAAACCTAAACAGACACTAAGATTTATAATACTTGTGACACATACAGAATTACGAACAATTATTTTCGCTAATGAGCAATAAACGTTTTGAATGTAACACAATAAATACTTTAAAGATAAAGAATTATGAGTTTCGCAGAAATTTGTATAATTTTTAAATCGAAAATATTTTTTTGGTACAGAGTAGTTATAAAATTATGTAAGTTTATGCATCTGTATTACCTGGATTTGACCTTAATATGATGACATCTTGTCAGGTAACAAATAGCCTACAATATGTCTAATCACCTTATGTCAGCGTATTTTCGATATTACACAACTACTACGACACAGTAAGAAACAAAAATCAATACTTTTGAATCACACTGCATACTGTAAAACTAATACACATTAATTCATAGAACATCTAAACAAAAAACTACGTGCTAGCACAAACTTGTTCCACAATCTAACAAATGGGCCATAAAATGCACGAACTACTTTATTAGAAAAGAACTAGTAACCAGCACTAAAAATATCACATACTTCATTCATATAACACTACAAATATACACTAAAATACATCAAATATGTTAGACAGAATGACTCAGAAATAGGTACTAAAATGTATCACATACTTCATTCTAATAACATTACAAATATACATTAAAATACATCAAATATGTTAGACAGAATGATCCAGAAATAGGCATTAAAATGTGTTACACATTCTAGTTGTAACAAATTACAAGCTGACACTAAAACCCTCATATGTTTCGTATAATAAGAACTACACAGATACTAAATGCATCACATATTTTGAACTGAAAGTACTACAATCAGACAGTAATATGTATATTTTTCTAAATGTGGATGCTAAAATGTATCAAATATTATGTACGGAAAATACTACAATCATACAGTAATATATATCTTTTTGTATACCTGGAAAAAAACAAGTACTAAAGTGCACTAAGTATTTTACATGTTTTTGAAATTACATACAGAAGTCGAGCTGTTTCACCTATATCCAAAGATATGGATACTTCAAGAAAACAGAATTCTTTGTAGGCACTAAAGTGAACCAGATACGTCACATACACACACAAAAAAAAACTACATGCTGTTATTCAAATAATTTACACATGGAAAACATGAAACACTGATGAACATGATAAATAGCCACCAACAGAAGTATAATATTAGTTTGCCCGTAGAAAGTACAAACGTTAACATTTTTATCGTACCAAATAAACATTTACTCTAATCGCTATTTTATATTTCTAATACTTCAGTTTTTTGTTGTTCCACTTCATAAATCAATAAAAATATCATATTATTTCTAAAAAGCAGATAGAAGTTTATATTTCTAGGATGTGGACGTTGAAAAAATTATCTTAATATTAGATTAAAAATAGGTATCTTCTTTATAAAGATTTAGGTAATGACTTGGACGTCTTTTAAGCAAGGTAAAATTGACTTGAATAAAATAGAAAAAATCACCTGCTAGGTGTAACTGTTTTAGCTTCGGAAGAAAAAAAGAATCGCGCTAATTATTTTTTCTTTCCCTTTTCCAAAGAAAAAAAGTTTGCCCCAAAATCTTCAACCTCTGAGGTAGTACTCTTACATGTCATTAAAGCCCAAGACCTCGAGGTAATGAAATACAGACCGTCTTTCTGCTATTTGAACAGTGAAATTGAAGGATTCTTAACAGACTTATTAAGAATTGAAATCTGACATTCAAATATTGCTGCTCGTTAATAATTCTGTTCAGAGTTTCACAATGGCGCCACAAGTATGTTAATTATGATTATGAATTTTAGAGCCTTTTAAAAAACTTTTCTGTTTGTTTGTAGTTAAGCACAAGGCTACGCAATGGCCTACCTGTGCTCTGCCAACCATTGGTATCGAAACCCGGTTTCTAGCGTTGTAAGTCCGCAGACTTACAGCTGTGCCACTGGGGGGCTAAACTTTTCTAAATTTTCGTTCAAAGACAACTTGCTTTATAAAAAAAAAATCTGTATGAGAAAAGGCAGTCTGTTGATCAAGTCATTAAACCAATTATTGACAGTTATCGCCCATCTAAACAACTTCAGGTTTGGGAGTTATGATTATAGTATTTGTTTTGATATTAAAAATGACTGGAGAGAATAAATAAATATGTAGAAGATTTAAAAAATAATACCGACTCGAATTGCGTTATTTTAAAGTTTTGGAAAGACAAAGCCATCATAAAGATGTTATATAAACATAGTAGTAAACTAAAAATTTATATTTAAAAGTTCACAGAAAAAAGCCTCAAACAATAAAAAATGCGTGGTTTGTATTTTCCTCCGTTTTTAATAATCTAAAGAGATTCCTTTCTCAAGAATTATGTTGAAAATTTTCAAAAACAAATTATTTGTTACTATTTCTAAAGTTCCTTGAAACTATTCTAAATAGACCCTAGCAATCATGTTTTAGATCCTAGCAACAATATTTCCAGACCCTTAGCAACTACATCTTACATAACTTATAGAAACCATGTTGCTCAGACCCTACCAACTATATTATATAGACTCTAGTTGACATGTAACTTGATGCTTAAGAAGTCTAGTTACAAGATCTAATGAAATACAATACCTCTTCTATCAAAACAATATTTAACGTTTATGACTTTGAAAAATGTTATTATTTAACCCAGAATCTTAACGAATTTGTCTCGTTATCAAGCAACGTCATCTTAAAAGGTAATGTAAAGCAAAACATGCTTTTCATATGCACGTTACCTAAAACAAGTTAAAAACAACTTTGGCTATATATTCAGTTTACCTTGTCGCTTAAGCTAAACTTTGAGATTCAAACACTGCAGTAGACACAACTTACATAGGTCATTTTGCATATTTAAAATTAAACTAACAAAGAACATATAACAGTTCACTTTATGGGTTTTTCTGTGAGTTGTATTCGTAACTAAGGCTTATATACTTAAAATTGTATTTGAAAACCTAGTTTCAGATATAACATTAAAGTAATGAGAAAAATTTGACCTCTTCCATGGAAAATACCTTAAAACAACCCTATATAAAACATATAATAATTAAATAATCAGTAAGGACTGGTATGTCCTTATGAATGATCTATTATTTTAATTTTAACAAAATACAAAATGAAAGCTTCAATGGAGAATACTGTGCAACATCTCAATTACTATGTACGTCCTCCAGCGGATCTGTAAAATTATAACGCTAAAAATCGGGTTTCAATACCCGTGATGGACGCTTAATCCATTGTTTTGTACACTAGCCCTTTTTGCTGTCTGCAATATCCTATAAATTTTTCATAGTTCGTTTGAAATCAAGGAATTCCAAACAACTGGAACAAAGATAAAAAACAACAAATCCGTTCTGTAAGAAAGGTAGTAGTTACCACAATATCAGCTAAAGGTAATAGTTACTACAATATCAGCTAAAGGTAATAGTTTCCACAATATCAATTAAAGGTACTAGTTACCACAATATCAGGTAAATGTAATAGTTACCATAATATCAGCTAACGGTAATAGTTACCACAATATCAGCTAAAGGTAATAGTTACCACAATATCAGTTAAAAGTACTAGTTACTACAATATCAGGTAAATGTAATAGTTACCATAATATCAGCTAACGGTAATAGTTACGACAATATCAGCTAAAGGTAATAGTTACGACAATATCAGCTAACGGTAATAGTTACCACAATATCAGCTAACGGTTGTAGTTACCACAATATCAGCTAACAGTAATAGTTACCATAATATCAGCTAATGGTTGTAGTTACCACAATATCAGCTAATGGTTGTAGCTACCACAATATCAGCTAACGGTTGTAGTTACCACAATATCAGCTAATGGTTGTAGTTACCACAATATCAGCTAACGGTTGTAGTTACCACAATATCAGCTAAAGGTAATAGTTGCCACAATATCAGCTAACGGTAATAGTTACCACAATATCCGCTAAAGGTAATAGTTGCCACAATATGAGCTAACGGTTGTATTTTCCACAATATCAGGTAAAGGTTGTAATTACTACAATATCAACGGCTTGATCTTAATATAAGCCCATAGTTTTCATGGAAATCACAGAAAGACTCTAACTCTATTTGATCTTAATAAAACCAAAATTAGCGTGGAAGTGACAGGATATTTAATCATTTCGAATATTGACAACAGTGAGTTATAGAAAGTTATTGAAAAGCTAGACCTAACACAGATACAGAGACACGTGGAAGGAACGGCTCAGCATTTAGGCATACACACTTTAGATATGTTAATATATAGCATTTCAAACTTTTAAATAGTTGTTATTCAGAGAGCCACGTACCTTCTGTAACATCCTGTCAACAACTCCTTCCAACGAGGTCTCTTGAACATCCAGCAAGAGCACAGCTTGGTTTAAAAACTGGTCGACGTCCATAGATGCGCGCACTTCAGCCCCAAAGTCTTTCATTGGAAGTCTCTGTAAAGTACAATGGAGAAGCATATCGTCAGTATGCTTACAATTAGTGCTACAATGACTACTGGTGTGAGGAGGAAAGCTTTGGTTAAGCGTACAGTTTCTGTTTCTGCTCTCCGTATCACACGTACCCAAAGGAGGGTCATTTTCGCTCTCAAGAACCGTCAGTGTCAGGTAGCTGATAAGCTCTACCTGAGATTGCGAGGCCGTTAATCGCTCCATATACCCGGGATTAGCCAGGTGAGGCTCGAGAGAGATCAAAGTCATCGGAATCCGCTATAGCGTGTGTCTCCTGTCGCTCTGTCCTATCGGTGCAAAGGACTAGGTAATCATACACTCTATCTTACTGGAAACATCCAACGCCACTACCAGCAGTTCTATACACTAAACCACGACTAATTCGTTTTATAGTTGCCTAGTCATCTTACTCTTCTCGAACATCTTTGGTCGGTGCATCACCTTTTCACATGGAACCGGGAATGATGCAACCCGAATCCGGTGAGAAATGTTAGTAGTGTAGAGTATGAAGTAAAAATCAATATCATCATGGCAGTGCAGTTTCCAGGAAGGAGTGCCGGACCTCTCCTACTACAAAGTGTGCAACACATGTTTATTCCACTAGTGGCTGCGCAGTCCTGTAACATAAATGTTTTTTTCATTCTGTTTTCGTACTTATTTAAATATTCGTATTTGAAGACATTTAAACACAGACAAAGATCTGCAACCCTTGAAATATTCAATTATGATTTTTTTTACCCTTTTACCCTGACAGCTACTTTTAAATTACTTCAAAGAAATTCACAAACATGTTTATCCCGTGAACTTGCACTTTCTGAGCACGTATTCCTTTCATGATCCTTCAGGTGAATATATAATAACTTATACCAAGATTATTTATTTTTCACTTCACAGAAGACACGACAGTGACGAAAGCAACATTTCTCAAATGTTTGTTACGTAAGATCTTTCGTTACCAAGGTATTTAGAGTCGCATGAAATAGAAAATATATATATAATGGATGCTACAGATTCAGAGATGATTTTCGTAAAATAAAACGTAATATTATGAAGTTGTTGTTGTTTGTTATTAAGCACAAAGCTACACAATGGGCTATCTGTTGATTATTCCATTCCAGTAAATTGTTTCTTTTCCCATCGAATCGTTTGTTTGTCGCGAAGTGTGACACTGTGTAAAAAACATCTGTTTATTTAACTATTTCATTTATCCAGGAGTGTATGTGTGTTTTCATATAACAAAGTTACAGCGGGCTGTCTGCTGTGTCCACCGAATGGAATCGAATCCCTGATTTTAGCGTTGTAAATTCGAAGAATTACAGATGTCCCACCGGGGGTCAGTTATTCATGAGTCTGTAGCAAGTATGAAAAAAGTTTAACCGAATTTTCATGACCTGAGGTAATTCATTCTTACTTCTTGAAAAATATACACTAAAAAGATACGCTGAAAATAACGCGCTCTCCTGGAATTATCGTGTGAATAACTTTTGTATCAAATAATTAATATTTCTACTTTTTTCAATGTAGGTATTGTGTTATCGAGGTGCATTAATAATTAAAAAATATTGATATGTAAATATGGTAAGCTATGTTTGGAAAAATGTGAGCATATTTTGCTTTTAAATTCATGATAATTTACTTACATATCATTCATCGTCGTGTCGGAAAAAAAAGTCAATATACCTTCAAAACACTGGGATAAAACCTAATGAGGGAAGAGCTTACCCCTCATATTTAGAGATTAAGATCTTAATACTGATCTTCACATGGGAAAACGTTTCCATTCAGGATGCACTACTAAAATAAAAAAATAAATCTTAAAGGTTTGTTTGTTTGTTTTTTGAATTTCGCGCAAAGCTACACGAGGGCTATCTGCGCTAGC